TTTTTTTTTTTTTTTTTTTTTTTTTTTTTTTTTACCGCTTTTGGCTTCATTTTGTCCTCCGTTACCTTTGGGGGAATTCCTGGAGTCCTAGTTTTGAGTGGCCCTAAATGAAAGCAAGTGTTAACCTTTCTTGAGAAAAATGAAACCACTTTTGTAATTTGCTGGCTTGTGGGTGGCTACAGCGGCACCTAATGGCGCGATGTGCCCTCTGCAGCTTGACTTTCTAGACTTAGCGGATCTGCTAGTCCTCAAATCCACATCTCCCGATTCCACTAATGCGCAGCGAACATTTTAACGTAGCTAAACATTGCCTCTTGGAAAAGATCAGGAACTCTATCCACTGGGGTTTTCTACCCGGCTTAATATACGAGGGTGAAAGAGACGCTACCTAAAACTGGGTAACAAACAGGAGGTGGGGGGAGTCCCAGAGTTCTTCCGAAGCCTCCCTGTGTCCTGGATAGCCTTGTCCCCAGTGACTTCCTCATTCCCTAGGATTTTAGTCCAAGGAAGAGGAGTTCAAAGGAATTTACATTTCTGTGCTTGTCCTTCGCCTGATTTCAGCCTACAATCACCCGTGAAACGGAATCTTCCATTGTACAAGCGAATGTCCTGAGAATTGAGATTAAGCAGCCCTTTACATCAATAAATACTATATGGAATATATATCACGGATATGGAAGGTAAGAATCACCTGGTAGCAAATTTAACTTTTCTGGCGCTGTGGTGCAGAGGGGGAAAGCATGAGCATTGGTGGTGTAAAACTGAGCTCAAAAATCTCATTTTCCACTTACTAGCTACACGTCTTGATCTACAAATGCCTACATGGTAAATTTCCGTGAGCATTAAATAAGCGGCTCCGTTTTGTAAGGGGGCTTGTGAAGGTTCTCTCGGCCCCACATGCAATTAAGGCATTGAGTTCTAGCTCTCCAAAGCTAATTTTAAGTACATTTAGAAAATAACATATTCATGAGAAGAAATACACAAGCAGAAATGGACACCATAAAGGGTGTCCAAAGATACAGTCCTGGCAGCCTGTTTCAAGGCGACATTTGAGCAAACTTCTTAAACCTTCCGTGAGCATTTCCTTGCCTCTAAAATGGGAATAATAATTAGTGCCTACTGCATGGCATTGCTGATGATCAATAAAAGATCACAGTAAGAGCGCTAGGACAGTCCCTGCAGAGGGGAAAGTCATCCAAGATGGCAGCTATGGCTAAAGCCTCTGATTGAAGGGGTAGGAAAGGTGCCCATGTTAGTATCTGAGTCCTGAGGCCTTGAACAAGGCAGAAGACCACAAAAGTATAAAGGCATGGGACACCAGGTAGGGTTCTTTGTCAATCTAAACCCCTTCTAATAGTCTGAAGCCCTCCTTAGAATCATCTCTCCACCCTGAACTCTTTTAAGGACAACCTAGTGCCTGTGGCTGTGAGACTTCCCCACCTCTGCCTGCCAGTTCAAGCAACACGTGCCTAATTTTCCAGGGACTTCCTCTTGCCTCGCCTGAGCCAGCGGCACCTCGTTTAACAGTAAGGTGTGCGTTGGAGTACGAGGAAGGGACGCTGGAAACACACAAGAGCCGTTAGTAACTTTTTTTCCCTTTTTTGTTCCCATGCCTCCTGTTCTCTCTGCCTAACCTCGCTGTGGTGTCCGGCCAGAACGAAGAATCATCTTCAGAAAACCAGCTGGCACTCTTAAAGTTAGAAGAGAATCACGACATTGCTGCCTGTGGTCCTTCCCAGACGAGGGAAAGCCAGGGCCGCCCTACAGACGGCTGTGCTGTTGCCAACAACTTCCAAGACAATCAATCTCATTTCAGAAAAGAACGATCCTCGAAGGAAATACAGATAACCGCAAAATAAGAAATCTTTATACCAAATAAATGTGGTCCTTTCTACCAAATAAATTTAATTAACTTTTAATATTAAGGAAAACTTACTATGCTGACCTTACGTTTCTCATTTTGACACAGAATGCAGAGAAAAGTGGCCGGGACTAACACTATTCTTAGATGAGCATCTGGGAACCACTGATTTGTTCAAGTCCCTTCATTTCAGAATTTTAAAAAATGTCTCTGAATCAGCTCAGCTAATCAGAGAAGGGGCCCGGGTTAAAACAGATTTCTTGACTATTTCCCCTAAAATTATACCTACTTCTCACTTCCACATGTTTGAAGACTTATATTCTATTATTGTAAGTAATCCGCACACATATTAATATCATTAGCAGAATATTATGAAGTAATCCACACAATGAAAATTCTACTTGATCTTTCATATTCCAGCAAAGCATCCTGTAATGTTTTTAAGGCAGTCAACAAAGCAACTGTCAACCAATAGACAGATGAATCGTGACATAATCAGGCATGATCACACGCTCTAACATTGCTATGAAAGCAAACGAGCTTTAGCCACACGTGACAACGTGGCAACTCAGAATAAAGCAATTCCCAGAAACCAGATGTGATCTAATACTGTGTCAATCCATTTAGGCTAACTGTGCCGTGATAAACAATCCCCAGATCCCAGTGACTTACTACAATGAAGGTTCTTGTTTTGCTCATGTTTATTGACTGTGGGTGAGTTACTGCTCTAATTCCACCTGTCTTCAGCCTAAGAACCATGCTGGAGGAATAGGGACAGATCACACAATGGCTTACTGAAATGACACATGTCATTTTCATTCATATTCACTGCCCATAGCAAATCACATGAGCAAGCCTAATGCCATTAGGACAGGAAATAAAACCCTCTCACCAGATGGAGTTGCAAATGTCTGGAACGATAGGGCATTCTTCCACAGATACCATTTTTTGATAGCAAAGACTAAGCACCAAAGCCACATATTATTTAGATTTCAGTGCATGTGTGATTTTAAAAGGGTAAGAAATAAAGGCAAGAAAATGACAGAATTCAAGACTGTGGCTATCTCTGGTGGGGTTGAAGGAGGACAAAATTAGGCCAAAGCAATGGATTGGTAATATTTGTATAACCGGGTTGGCAATTGGGTTCTTTAATGTTTATTTATTTTTAGAGAGAGACAGAGCGGAGCGTGAACAGGGAAGGGGCAGAGAGAGAGGGAGACACAGACTCCGAAGCAGGCTCCAGGCTCCGAGCTGCCAGCACAGAGCCCGACGCGGGGCTCGAACTCACAAACCATGAGATCGTGACCTGAGCCAAAGTCGGACGCTTACAACTGAGCCACCCAGGTGCCCCAGCAATTGGGTTCTAATGTGGTCATCATCATATTATCCTTTATAACATGGACACGTAGTTCAGATATTCCTTTGTATATATTGAGAATTATAAATTATAAAGCTAATAAAGGGAAATGTGCAATTATATTGGTGGAATCACCTCACGTTCCACAAAACAGAAGCCTCCGAAGCTATTAAAAGTTGCCTATACTGGGTTTTGTTTCTAAGAAAGAAAATCACCCCTTAGATCCCAAAAGTCTGTAGAGGCCCACAAGGGACAAAGCAGGGCACTTTGCCAAAGTCACTGCTGATACACACAAAATGTGTATTTCAATGGATCCTTCTAGAAATATTTTTCTTTTCTGCAAGTTTGCTTGTGTAGCCTTTTTCATTTCATTAACTGTAAATCCGTTTAACCTTCACTTCATTCCTATCTATTCATCCAGGCACTTGAGGGTTTCAGTACAGTTTCACTCTAATGGGGAAAGAGATACACATGCACCACTGAAATCCAGTATGCTAAGAGCAACAACTGATTTTGAAAAAGATAATTGTTCCACAGTGAGAAAAACTGTAGGGAAAGACAAAAGGAGACACAACTTTGCACAGCTCCCTGTTGTCCACAGTAAAGCCCAGATCCCCGTCACGGGCCTGACAGGCCTCCTGAGCCTGGCAGTGAGCCTCCTGGGCAAGCATCCGCTTAGGACTCCCAAAACGGACTTGACTTATGCTCTTTGGACACCCTTTATGGTGTCCATTTCTGCTTCACATTTCATGGGCGGGGGTGGGGGGGTGTTGACTTCCCCAATAGACTGCAAGCTTCTCAAGAGCAAACAGACTGGGGGGCGTCAGGGGTTGGCATGCCATCACAGACAGCCTCCCTAAAAGGATATTTGACTTAAAAAGGGAAGAAGGTGAGGAGCGATGCCTCCAAGGATCTGGGAGCTGAGAGGCCCACGTAGAAAGAAGAGTCTTTAAAAGATCTGTGTACTTGGCCCATTTGAGAAAGTTCCAGGGCCAGTGTCACTGGGCTAAGAAGGAGAGGGAGAGTAGACAGTTCGAAGTAACAAGGGCCAAGAGAGTAAGGACTCTGACTTTCACTTTAAGTGAAATGAGAGCCGTTGGAGGGTTTTCAGCAGAGAGGCGACTTGATCTGATTTACTCTTTATTATAATCCCTGGCTGCTGTGTGAAATATAGGAGAGAGGAAGCAGATGGGGCTGCAGGAATAACGATGGAGTGACGGCCGCTTGGCCAGAGCAGCAGTGATGGGAAAGAGCCGGAAAGGGAAATGCTAGCCTTCTTGCTGTGTTTTCCAGGTACAGCTGACAGGACCTACTATGGACTGGAGAGTCGAAAACAACCCCAGCTGAAAAGTTGGACTCGCCGTTTTCCAGATTCAAGATGTTGACGAGAGAGGCTGGTCTTGCAGTGGTGGTGTCGGATTTGGAAATGGATATTCATGGACTTCCAAATAGAGAAGTCACGTGGGTAGCTGGGTCTCTGAGTGTGGAGTTCAAGGGACGTCTCTGGGCTGATGACTTAACTTCTTCTACATTACTGTATAGACGGCATCTCCACAACAACAGGGGAACACCAGCTCAACAGATCAGAAACGGGTGTTCTCAGGGTCCACTTTCTCAGATCAGGAGCTGGTGAAGGTAAGGAAAGAGAAAAGCAGCCTCAGACACAGAGCTCTGAACGTTGGCCTCCACAAACAGGCTTCGGGAGGCCTGAGAACTCGCTGGAATTGCATGCAAAATATACGGGGAAGTTGTCCATTTTGAGAAGGGTGCCTATTATCTATTGGTGGATCCCCAAAGTGATCTCCCATGGTTCTAACTTCAACAGATTATTTGAGTGAGAGCTCCACTGTCATTGCACACTCTTCTGACTGAGGGCAGCTTTTCACATCTGTAAAATGAGACTATTTTCTTCTGCTTGTCCTGAGAGTCACAGGAGAAAGGGAGAATTACAGAAACACGTGTAAAACCATCAGTGATCTATCCACAGATCACGAATACAGAGCAAACACTCCTTACTTATCTGACCTAGGACTCGGTTCTTGAACTGCTTCTCTTCATTACCAACCCTCTTTCCTAAGAGATCTCATCTTCTCGCCTGGCTTTTTCACTCTCGTGGCATCAGGGCAGTTATACCCTGACAACTCCCAATAGTGTTTCCAGCCCAGATCTCTTCCCTGAACTGCAGATTCATATATCTAGCTAACCTAGTTCCTACCTCCCTCTTAGAAATGTAATAGGTATCCCAAATTCTGCATGTCCAAAGCTGAACCTGTGATTCTCCCCAAAACTTGTTCCTTCTATATTCTTATCCATTTTAGCGACTGGCATTACCATCTTCGATGCAGTGGCTAAAATCATTGGGATTATCCGAGAGTGTTCTAATTCTCTCATACTCTACATTCACTAGCTAACAAGAGGGCCAAGGGCAAGTTGTCCAACATAGACGATGGTGTATCATTTTGAATTGAAGCTACATGGGAAAAAGCACATGCAAGGACACTGAGACTCTCCTCGGTCCCCTCAAAATGTGGAAATAAAACTACCATATAAAAGGAACCCCTCACTGGACTAAGTAAAAACACATCATTATCACCAGAAATAGGAACTTTAAAGCCAAGAAAGCTATAGAAACAATCCTGGTTAATTTCACTAATGTACTACGTCAGGCCAAATTCCTCTTAAAAGTCCTTACTAATTAAAGCTTTCAAGTGTGTGTTTTTAATCCTGTCCATTCCTCACGAATGCATTTTCTCTGTCTAGAAGGTATAAAAACTGCCCTGCATTATTCATTTGTTTGGGCCTCAAATTCCTTACCGGACCTCTGGACGCAGGTAATAAAACCTTTGGATTTTTTTTTTCTCCTGTTAGTATGTCCTCCTGTAAAGTTTAGTCCAGCTGGAAGACCCTGGAGGAAGTGGAATACTTCTGATGACATTTTCGGGTGATGGAGGGGTGGTCCAGAGCCAACAGCCAAAAAAGAATTCTTGAAGACACCTTTGGTGCAAAAAAAAAAAAAAAAAAAAAAGGTGATTTTATTAAAGCAGGGAACAGGACCCTGGGCAGGAAGAGCTGTCCTGACGGGTAACTTCTTATATACCCTCAGGATGGAAGGTGGTCAGGGATAAAGTTTTTAAGGAATTTTGTCAGCAAGGTTTCCAGGACCTTGAGGGACTAGCTGTTGCTAGGGAAACATTTATCACTGTGTAGTAAAACCTCAGTCATGAGACCCTTCAGATATACATCAGGGGGCCACATGCTTAGAGTATGATTGTCAGCATATATCTTGGGGCCGTTGAGATAAAGGAAGTTTCCAAAGGAATTTTTATAGGTTAAAGTAGACTTACGGGTTCAGGGGTGGGGAGTGGGAGGCGGTCAGGATAATAAGCCAAGGTGCTCTTTTGCCCCTAGCAAAGTGTCATCATCCAGCCAGCTGAGCTCCTAGAGGGAGGTCACTGCGGGTTTCAAGGACCTGCCAATGGCTGTAGGCAATAAGGGAATTTAGTTTTTCGCTTGCCTTAGCTTCCCACATCACTATGGCAAGCGCTTACACCCTTCCTTTGTTCTAGGGTAGCCAGGAGTGTCCTAGGAATGTCACATATATTCCACCTGGGGGCGGGGGAGGGGTAGCCTGTATTTTGCCCTCAGCTCGCTCCACGCTCCTCATCACTTCCCTCCCCACACTTAGCGATTTGGGGTGAAATATCCTGATGCCTATATGTACACGTTTTTAAAATGCCACCACATCTCCTTAAAATTAGGGGACATTTACATATTGACCATTAAGTAACATCCTTATCTCCGTGAGGGTTTCATAATACGTCATAAAACGTCGCCCGCTAGGCCACGTAACACCTGCCAGATCTGACCCCCCAGCCGCCCAGCGCACGACCCCGGGGCCTTCGGGACCGCGGAGCGAGCCTGGCAGAACGCAGCCCAGCCCAGGGGCGGGGCGGAGGCGGGGCCGGAGGCGGGGCCAGGCGGGCCGCGGGAACGCGTCTTTGTTCCGCAGCCGTCCTCCCGCCGCCGACCCCGCCATCTTGGACGCGGGAGCCCTGCAGGGAAGGCGCACCCGCTCCCTCCCGCGTGGGCATCCCCTTGCTAGTATTCCAGAACCAAACCCACCTGACTTCGAACTCGAAAGTGCTCGAGAACGAAGGAAGCGCCTTGGAAATGCTGACGATACCATGTGGCTTTGTCTGCCACCCAAAACGATGGGCAGCCCAAGGCTTAGGCAAACCGACTGCGGCAGAGCCACAGCACGGCTTAACAACTAAACCCCAACGTTAAAAGCCCTCAGATTACGATAAAGGGGCACGACAGAGCGGACAACTAACAATTCTCATACACATTTGGAAGCTGGGCCAACAATAGAACACAAAAGTCCTAAAAACTAACCAAAAGCTACAGATCTTTCGTGAAAAACGTGGGCGGCCCTGAAAAGGGCCTTTTTGTGCTTGTGGAGGTAGCAGAAGTGCCGCAGCGCTCAGCCGCCGAAGCCGTAGAGGGTGCGGCCCTGGCGCTTGAGCGCGTACACCACGTCCATGGCCGTGACCGTCTTGCGCTTGGCGTGCTCCGTGTAGGTGACGGCGTCCCGGATCACGTTCTCCAGGAACACCTTGAGCACCCCGCGGGTCTCCTCGTAGATGAGGCCGGAGATGCGCTTGACGCCGCCGCGCCGGGCCAGCCGCCGGATGGCGGGCTTGGTGATGCCCTGGATGTTGTCGCGCAGCACCTTGCGGTGGCGCTTAGCGCCCCCTTTGCCCAAACCCTTCCCGCCTTTGCCTCGGCCAGACATGTCAGCACCGCTTAGCCACCTCCCGGAGAAATGCATGAAAGGCGTGGAGGCAACCTCCTTATATGTGCAGGATGCGGACCTAATTGAGGACTGGAAGCGCGCACGCGGGAAGGGCCGTTGCCCGGCCCCGCCCTCCGCGGCTCACTCCAGTGACGTCACTGGAGGCGGGGCCCGGACCCTCGGAGCGTGCCCTCCGCGGAGGCGGCTGGACGGTCCGGGGGCCTGTGTGGGACCTCGAAACTTTTTCGGTGCGTCAGACTAAAAAAGTGAGCGTTTTGCTCTACGTTTTGCTGCGTGAGGGGCCTTGGCCGATCGCCGGGCGCCTGCGTTGGCCTGCGGCGACCCCGCGGACCGGCCCTTCCCGCCCGAGCCTCCGTCCGGGCCTCCCGCGGCCGGGCGTCACCCCCACACCGAGCCCGAGAGGGTGTCCTCCCAACGGCGACCGCGGGCCTGGTTAGTGACTCCGAGGCGGAATTCTCGCCCGCGTGCCTTTCCCGGTCTTCCCCTTCCTTCCCTGTTTAGTAAAGTTTGTAACCCTCGCTGAGTATCTGGCCGCCTCTCCCCTCTGCCTCCGGAATTTCAAAGGGGTGGTAACGCTTCCGTCTCTGCCTCTGGCTTTGTTCTCTCTGATTCTGGTAGCGATATTGTTCCGAAGAGAATTGGCAGTTTGTGGTAACCGAGGTGTTGAACCGGCGACCTCAACGTGGGTTTTTCCAGTGTCAGTAATCGCCTCTGAACACAGTTAAGAGCATTATTAGGAGTCGCGTTTAGCCGGAGAGCAGAGTGGCGCAGCGGAAGCGTGCTGGGCCCATAACCCAGAGGTCGATGGATCGAAACCATCCTCTGCTATCTGCTTTTTTCCTGCAACTTTTTAGTTTCTGTAGCCTCGTTTCACAGTAGGGGAAGAAAATAGAGCCTGTTTTGCTTCATTCTGGAGTGAAAATTATTTCCTGAAAACAAACGTGAAACTGTTTACATTCTCCAGAGAGAAAAAGACCGTCGGTCATGGATACTCAGTTGTCATTAATTAAGATGTTCCCCCACCACAAGCTATATTTCTAGTGGTTGCCAAAGGGGTCGTGACAGTCCCATTGCCCTATGAACCTGGGAAAACGCTAAAATAAGCTGAGTGTAAGGGTGAGGACAGGGATGGGAGCGGAGAGAAGGCGTTTTCTTTCCTTCTATATGTAATTCAGAAAAGCTCTACTTGTTAGCTGTGGCCACGTGGCTAAAGCCCAGCGCCAAATCTTTGCAACTACCAGAGTCGGAAACTTTGGAATAAATAAGTAACAGTTTGAGACAGAGTGCAAAGTTTGGGTGGCCACGATTGAACTCTGACCTGAGAAAACCACTTATGTGGTTGATGCTGGTAAATGTGTTTCTACCGCCTGCCTCCCTTTACCAGTCTCCAACAGAGATGCTCTCTATGCTCATGCTTAAAGTGTATGTTTTATATTTCTCTCAGAAAAGATCCCTGTTCATATACTCACGTTGCAAGAGGTCAACTTATAAGATACCAGAAAGCTTATTGTGTGTAAGTTCAGCTTAAACTCACCTTTCATGAATAATTGAGATGAAAGCTTATGTAGTTCCCTAATACGGAAATTAACCACCCTATCTCGCTTCTGTAACTTTGCCTGCTTGCTAAATAGATACCTTAGGCTGCAAAACGCTCCCCCACCCCTTTTACCAAGATCTGGCCTAGGCAAGACCAACATGTAAAAAGTCACCAACTCACCGCCCCACGGTATCTTAGGTGTCTAACTACGATTGGTCATTTTAAACCCTCTTAGGACAAAGAACTTTAAATTGATAGCTTCCCACCAAAACTAAAGTCTGTGTGTCACAACAGAATTGGCTACCATGAAATGCTGTAAATTGCAATTGGGTAACTAAATAATGACCTATTCTGACTTGCTAAAATCCACAGAAGCTCACTGCTACCTTTGTTTGGGGCCATTCTCTACACTTTCCTCCTTAAGATCAGGAGATCAGGTTTGGCCCGGCCGTGAATAAAATCTTGCCTCGCTTCTATTCAGTGTCTGGTGGGTTGCTTTTTTTGTTTTTTTGTTTTTTTTTTTCCGACAGCACCCTGTTTCAACGTGATACTGTGCTAAGCATGAAGTGTTCAAGTAACCTACAGTCTAGACATGCTTTTAAACAAGTATACAGGGGCGCCTGGGTGGCGCAGTCGGTTAAGCGTCCAACTTCAGCCAGGTCACGATCTCGCGGTCCATGGGTTCGAGCCCCGCGTCGGGCTCTGGGCTGATGGCTCAGAGCCTGGAGCCTGTTTCCGATTCTGTGTCTCCCTCTCTCTCTCTGCCCCTCCCCCGTTCATGCTCTGTCTCTCTCCCACAAATAAATAAAAACGTTGAAAAAAATTAAAAAAAAAAAAAACAAGTATACAAGTATGTATAGTACAATTAGGTATTTCTTTTACAAGGTTATGCACAAAGTGCAGCGGGAAGAAGGGAAAATGATGATTTCTGATAGCCCCACGATCACCCACTAGTTGAGTGATTTTCCAGAAGGACTCACCTGACTCAACATATACTCAAAGCTGAGATTTATGACAGCAAAGGGAAGAGTGCAGACACAGAGGGACAAAGATACGCACGGGCAAAGACAAGGGAAGTCTTTCTCGGCCTCCGTCTTCAGAGATGATGCACACACTCTTCTCCTCTCCGGCTGTGAGCTACAGGCACCAGTGAAAGCTGTGGTTGCCAAACAAAGTCCACGTGAGTCCTGGAGCCCAAGTTCTGGAAGGGACCTGGTCACCTACCTGCCATACCCACCCCACACCAGCTACGTGTCAGCAATTTCTAAGTTTACTTCAGATAAGCTGACAACTTGCTTCATAGTGCCCCACCGCCTCGGGTGCATAGAATAACATCATTTCCCAGTAACCGTGTGAACATTCCAGAGTTTGACAGAGGGACGTCACCGCGACTACAGAGATCTGTGGAAACCGAGTGAAATAGATTCGTGGCATCACCCTTGCCCTGGCAATGGCCCAAGTCGGGATAGGTGGCAGATTTTGAGTCCCAACTTGAATAAGAGCTTAGCAGGCAGCCAGGAAGACGCTTCCAGATGGGGGGGGGGGGGAACAAGCCCAAGGAGGCATAACGGTTGAGGGTTTCTAAAGAACTATAAAGCATTCAGTGCGATCAAACATGGAGGGGAGAGAGATTGCTGTATTCAGCAAAGTGGCTGTATTCAGACCACCTCCCACGCACCCTGTAGCTGGAGGCGGTCTGCCCCCCACAGTACACCAGACGGCCGGACAGGCCATGCTCGACGCTGGACGGATGAGATCGGTAGCCGTTTCCGGTCACACGCACTCACAGCCTGGAAGGGGAGGGCACCGCATGCCGCGCAAGGTCGCTCGGCTGCAATCTCCAATCGAGTGAGCCAGCAAGGGCTGCGGGAGGTAAGCCTCGTCGTAACCAGGGGGCAGAGCGACCCCTGGTTCCCTCCAAAAGATCGATTGGCTTATTTTAACAGCTTCCAGGACTGACAGGGAGGGAAACCCATGAGGCTGAGGGGCCGACGGGATGTACCTGGACAGAGGAACGGGCCCGAGGTCTTATCTTGTGAGAAGAGGCAAATGCACAGGCCGTTTGGGCTCAAAGATGTCAAAGGAGCCCTGGAAATGTTCGGGCCTACACTGGAATTCTGAGTTGTGGCAGAAGCGATAGGGAAAGGGCCACGCATAAGGAAGGGAAGGTGCAGTGCAAACAGGTTTCGAATTTGTCTATGGGCAGTAAGAAACCACCACCAGGGGCGCCTGGGTGGCGCAGTCGGTTAAGCGTCCGACTTCAGCCAGGTCACGATCTCGCGGTCCGGGAGTTCGAGCCCCGCGTCGGGCTCTGGGCTGATGGCTCAGAGCCTGGAGCCTGTTTCCGACTCTGTGTCTCCCTCTCTCTCTGCCCCTCCCCCGTTCATGCTCTGTCTTTCTCTGTCCCAAAAATAAAGAAACGTTGAAAAAAAAATTAAAAAAAAAAAGAAACCACCACCAGTTTTGATCAAAGGAGTAATAGGATCACATTTTCTCAGTAGAAGGAAATCTCTGGAGGGGCGCCTGGGTGGCTCAGTCTGTTGAGCGACCGACTTCGGTTCAGGTCATGATCTCACAGTTCATGAGTTTGAGCCCCGCTGACAGCTTGGAGCCTGGAGCCTGCGTCAGATTCTGTGTCTCCCTCTCTCTCTGCCCCTCCCCCTCTCATGCTCTGTCTCTCTCTGTCTCTGAAATAAATAAACCTAAAAAAATTTATTTAAAAAAAAAGAAAATCTCTGGAATTTTCAAGTTGGTGGCCTGATCTTTGACTGTTTTTGTTTTGTTTTGTTTTGTTTTGTTTTGTTTTTTGCAGGGGAGGGGGGGTGTTGGTTTTTGGTTTCACTGCAAACTATGCAACAATGTCTTTCATAACGTATGCGGTTTTAAAAAATCATTTCTTCAGCCTCTCCATTCACAGACAAGAATAAGGGTACTAACATCTTGGAACTTGGCGAACGTGATCGTTGCCAAGAGAGGAGAAAATGACCCGTAAAGCACGCTAGACCAGGAGGCCAAAACATCTGCACACCCCTGCAAACAGGCAGGCGAACGTGACAGACGGACCGAACCCCAACTCAGCCTTCACTGGCCTCCGTCGCACAACCAGGCCCGTATCAGCAGCACGTTTCTGGTCAACAACCGGCAAATGTCCAAAGTTTTCGCCATCATCTCCCACCACAGGTATCTGGGCTATATGTCCCTCGGGTCTCACCAGAAACTGTGCTGATGCCTGAGGGGAAATGTCATGGAAACGGAGACACCAGTCATCCGCAAAAATTCTTTGGCAACCGCCCCCTGGCTTTTCAGCTGGGCATCTGAGTCCCAGCCCCACGTCTCACTCTGCACTGGCAACGTGGAGCCCGCTCGGGGTTCTCTCCACCCTTCCCCTGCTCGCTCGCTCTCTCTCAAAATCAATAAATACACAAAACAATTCTTTGGGCTGGATATCCTCGCTGGGGAACCTTCCCGTAGATCATGTCTCCACCAGGTCAGGTCTCCACCGGACAAATCCATAGTCAGATTTTTGGGGGATGAAGGAATCTTTGAGCTCCATAATCCCCACATTAGAGGCGATGGCAAAATTCCCAAAAAATATGTATGTGAGAGATGGAGCACATGTTTATTGAGCTCCTACTATTTGCCTGATGTTATTCCATGGACAGGGAAAGAAGGACCACGTAAATGATCCCATGTCTGTGCTCCGGAAGCTGCTGATTTACTAGTCAGCACAAGCCAAGATCTATCACAAATGAGCCAAGAGGGCCAGTGCTCCCAAGGTCTGGGACTTAAGAAAATTAAGGAAATGCAGCGTGTGTAGATTGTCGACAGTATCCTTAAACAAGGTCACACAGATTCACTGATGAACTCGAAAGAAGCCATCCAAAATATCAAAATATAAGTGTAAGTCTCTACCACTTTATTGGGCCGAGCACTCTACAGAGCATCATCAATTCTATAAACACCTCGGCCATAGAATGGTTTTACTGCAACACGTTCCGGTGTTGAGTCATCTACCAAATGTAAAACTCGTTAACCATGTCTGTGACACCGCGACAGTGTTTCTCTCTTCATGTACGGGAACCTCAAATAATATCAATGAGCCTGGACCACTCCAAGGGCCTAAGCGACGCCAACAAAAAGCACGCTCTTCTTCTCCAGATAGAGACACGCTGTGACAAGCGCTCTGGTGGCAGGTGACAACGATCGCAGAGTACCAGAGTGTGGGCAGGGGAGACTTGTTAGGCCCCGGGGCCTGCAAGACAGCGACAAGGACGCCGGTGCGGGTGCTGACTGCCTTGTGGGGGCGGTGACACGATCGCCGGGCCGGCGGGCGGCCCGGCACCGAGGGTCTGAGACGAGTGACTGTGGCGGAGTATTAACAGGGAAGGCGCTCTGAGTTCGCTTCTATCCCTGGATGCAGACGAGATGCGCTGCTTTGGCATCTCTTCGGTCCCACGAACAGGTTTTCAGCTCGGGAGTGGGAATGGGAGTGATTTTTCTCCCCACGCTGGACCCATCATGATTGTCAGATCCTACCCGCGGTGAGTCCCGACTCCGGGGCCTCAAATAACCCGGGTAATCTAGTGTAGAAAGCGCGGGCGGCGGGCGCGCTCTTTTGAGACTCAGGACCGGTCGGAAAGCTCATTATACTTTCCAAGTGTTGCGACACACACGTGTACTTGGGGACCACGTGGCCTAACGGATAAGGCGTCTGACTTCGGATCAGAAGATTGAGGGTTCGAATCCCTTCGTGGTTAGCGCTGGCTCTTTTTTTTTTTTTAATGCATTTACTCCCCCCTCCCCCCCCCCCCCCCCGGGGAGGGGGGGGGGCG